GCAGCGTTGGCAGCAGCGGCACAACTGGTGTAACTCGATTGACAACTTTCTAAGCTATCATCTGTTGATGCGTGAAAACCAACGACCTAAAAAGGGGTCCAATTTTGCGATCTTTTGACGGTTCTCGCCGCTTTTTTCGCCACCGGCATACTATTGAACGCGTCCCCCGAGCCCTCCTTGAACCTATCGTAATCGCTGCCTTCAATCTCCCCTCCTTTCCTGACCTTTACCAAGCCTTTCCCACTCTACGAATTCTCGAAACCGAATTTCGAAGACTTGTAGAAACGCTGTACACTTCAGAGCGCGCTCCCGCCCATTGTGGGCGGGCCTCCGCCCACGTCATGTATGCTGGAAACACCTTAGACATTGCTCCCTACACCAAATTGTTTTCTGCTCTGTAGGCTTTCTCCCAACCGAGTTATGAAATTTTTCATAAAGCACTGCTTTTTTAGAGAACGCCCCGCCCACCGGGGGTGGGTCTCCCTAATTCGATCTGGCTTACCAATGCACACCTTACCCACTTTTTCCCCAGTCTCGAGGCTGTTTTGTGACTGAATTTGAAATCATGGTCTCAGTACACTCATTTCGACGCACGCCACGCCCACTGTGGGCGGGGCTCCGCTTAGCTGATGTATGTTTTTTACTTCTCGAGATATGGTACACCCATCCCAAACTTGACCTGGACTCTCTAGGTGAATTCCGCTTAATAGGGAATTTCGTGACAGACAGACACCGTGACACAAAGACACAGACAGACATAGCGCATTATGTATAGCAGGGATAAGTTTTTCACTGGTCATGATCTCGCGTTGGCACTGTGAGAATGTTTGAGGTCCGTGGGGTCACCTGTTGTGGCAATGGGTGCTTTTGTTTATAGCGTTGACGATAGGACGCGTTTCAGCTTTTCGGCCATGTGGGACAGGAGCAATTTTGCTAGCGCGGCCGCCTCATCTCACACCCGTAATTTTGAGTGATAACTATGCAGAACGTGAATGGCACGAAACCATTTTAGCATTGCTCAATTAGTTGAACTTAGTCGTGGGTTGGTGATGGAATTCCGATAAGCACTCATGAGGTGGTTATGAAAAAGCGAATTCACTTGTTCTGTCTTGAGAGATATCAAAAGTATTTTTGGCGCGGATGTGTCAAGAAATGCGATATTTTGCTATTCGTGTAGGTTTTGCAGTTTTATGACATAATCCCAAGAAAGAATACAAACAGTCGGGGAGAGCATGGGGAGAAGTCGCACAAGCGCGAGAAAAGGGGAAGACTTAGGTGGGACGCACGACCGCGTCACAATGATCGACAGGTGCGAAGTGGGACGCCCCTCGTTGTATGTGAGGTACTAGGTTGGCACGATTGATATGTCGCTTCCGTTTATGCCTTTGTTTCTCAGCTTAAAGACAATCTCCTAGGATGGAAAACCATTCATTCACCTGGCGACGAAGATCGTGGATTTTGACCTCTAGCTCTCGATGACGGAGAAATAAAGAAAGCCAACGAATTGAGTCCTCGACAAACCGCACAAAACTTGCATGGAGATTCAGTTGTGTCAACAGAAAAATTTAAAAGTTCCTACGTGCGACTGTTAAGGCCTTTCAGGATAGAAAATGGGTTCGGCCTATTCTGAGCGACGCGAGCAAGCAGTACTGGTTGCCAATACTGGAACTTCGCTCCATAACTTCAAGAGGAAAAAGGTTCTTGACTTCGTGTTGACCGCATTTTACAAAGAGATGTTTCCCAATAACAACGCGAGAAGATGACGACCGTGGTTGGCGGCTGATGGACAGCTGAGGTGACTTGAAACCGACATCCACTGAGAAAAGTCGTGCTACGGTGTGGTGGAACAGTATAAGACTGGCCTACTATGGAGAGTGGACACCAGTCCTACAGACTGACCTACTATGCAGAGCTGATTGTGGGTCAGACAGTTACAGCTGAAGCCTGCGCCCAACAGCCCACCCATGTGGACTGAGCTCTGCGTCGTCAAGTGGTGAATTCGGCCAATGTAAAAACTACTGCACCATAACGACGACACCTCACTTCTCGTGAAAATAACGCAACAAGAAATCGAGGAGTTGGGCTGGACGTCCTACCTCCAGCGCCGTATAGCCCAGGTCTGACGCCGTCCGACTATGGCCGATGTCAGACTTTGCGAAGCGCACGTTTCTACTCCGCGTCCGCGTACGTGGTAACCATCCAATGACTGAACTTCACTTCCCGCGACGCGACGGCAGACGCTACGAATCGCGCCGATTGCGCCAAATCTGACTCGCCTACACTGACGCCCGGCAGCACAAAGCAACCCTTAGCCTAAACCACCCATTCGATAAGCGCGACGGCTGGACGGCAGCCCCGTGGCGGTCCGCTCGCCTGGAGTCAATGAGTGCCCCAACTTTTCCGAGTCGAACCAGAAAGAGTTCTACGTGGTAGGCATTCACGCTTTACGTGACGAAAAGCGAAGAGCCTGTGACACAGGTGAAGGAGATGTTTCAGGTTGATGTGCTTAGTTGTTGCTTTTATAATGAAAATAATGCGACGAAAACGACATTTCAGTCTAGCCCCCTAAAATAGAAGGAACATACAGCGTTAATCCTCTTAATAGACTTATATTTCGCATCTAATTTTATTGTTCATATGCCAGTTTTCTTTGCAAACTATTTTAAATTTGTTATATTGCTTAATTTGATTTATTGATCAGTTCCTGATTATAACGATTTCGTCTGCCGAATATGGTGCATCTACGAGTGGGTAGAAAAAAATGAAATAAAAAATAAATACATATAAATAAATCTTGTAAGTCGATAAACCCTCTTAGAGCAATTTTTACACTGTACGAGTAGTTCAGATGGAAATGGAGGGAACGCCCATCCCAAATCATGCGTCCAAGAAACCACCACGTCCCAAGTCTCCTTCAAAGGCTGATCTGGCGAAGCACCGTAGCAAATCTAAGTTGCCAAATCTACGTTCTTGTAGTATCCCCTCTGAACAAATCAAATCGAAAGGCTCGCCTAAACGAACATCATTTTGGTAGCCATGTGATACAATTCTTTGTGCTAAATTACAGCTGTTGCTGTGCCCCCGGTGTATGTCAAACTGTGTTCTACGAAGATAGATTACCGATAGAGCTGTCAACGTTGGAAAGAAATGAAGAGTAAGCTGTGCGAACACGAAGAGCAGACGAGAAGGCCCTAAGATGTGTCCAACCCTGTCATTCCCTTGTTCCACTCACGCAGGGCTGGTAACCGATGCAGAGATCGTCGGACACTTTTATCCCCATGAGCCATTCCGGTGAACATGATTTGATAAGGCGTCTCAACTGCAAAATAGCAAATGCGTGAAATATTCATTCACAATGAAAAAAGAACGGAAATGATGGTAGGGCTAGCACTCAACGCGGTTATACATTCAGCCTTCAGCGCACTTCATCGCAAGTGCTATCCTTTTTAGTTCTTCAGGACACAGCCTCATTTACGGAAGGGAGATTTCTTCCCTCTTAAGGAGATTTCCCCTTCTTAAATACCCAAGTTATCGTAACTCCTGCGTTTAATCATCATTCTAACCTCCAATAACTTTGTAACTTCAGCTGTTCCCGCAAACAGGGGTGACGAGAGACGCGATTTCAAGCTGGATACGGATCACTCCAGGCTAGCGGAACTTCAGAAACGGAACTCGTTAGTTTTCGAGTTACTCCTAGTGAACAAAGTGGTCACTACTCATTTGACAACTCATCCTTCAGGATGCTTCACCCGGCTATGCGTTGCGCATACGCGTTGGAAGTAGGAGCATACAGTTCGCCAACAGGGAGTGAGAATGCTGTGAAACACGGGAGTGCAAGAAGAAAAAGCGGCGCCAAGGTGAGGAAAAGTGTGACGATTTTTGAAATACATGAATGAGTACGGTGTTTCAGTTTTTCCAACGTGCGTCCTCGTACGTAAAGAAGAAGTTTCCTTTGTCTGAGTCGACCAATTCTCAACAATAATCTAACAATGCTTTCTCATAGAATGATTTCACTTACTAAAGTTCTACTAAAAGGTATATGTAGCGATTTCCGTACCCGCTTATGATTTATTGAATTAATGAGTTGTTCTTCTATCTTGACAATTTGAACATTTTTCTCTGGAATTTCTCAAATGATATTGTGATTTGAACGCTGTAAATGATATTCTTAATGCTTATATCTGAGCTTTTCCGTATCTGCATGCGCCTACAGATACTCAGTTGTGTACTTGGTTTTGTAGTAATTGTCAATCCTAGTTGTGTACAAATTTATTACTCACTTATCGCTCGTTGTACTTCACTAGTGTTATATCATAAATGAACCTTGTAAATGGTATTCGTAGCACCTGTAAATGTATTCATCACTGAAACCTGTTGCAAGACGTATGAGATTGTTGCTTTTATAGAACATGAAAGAGTTCGACATTTCATAGCGATTGAGCTGCTAACTTAGTCGGGGGTATCCCGCCAGGCTAGAGGAAGAAGAGATCCCTTTCAATTTATGGTTTCCAACGGCACAGTTTCTTTACTCTTAGTTAACTGCCCCTGGAACTAAGCCTTGGAGGGGCAGATAAACAGAGCGCCGCGCTGCCGCGCGTCCCTCCCTTACCAACTGAGATACCACAAAGAAGGAGTGGTGTAAATATCAATTTCTCTGTATGAGGACTCCACAAATGGTGTAGGAACAGATGAAGCAAACAAACAACAAACAAAAACCATCAAGGGTGTTTGAACCGTGACTGCACAAGCTGGTTTTATGAGGCGTCATGTTATATAGTTTGCGAGAACCTGCGCCACACGGAGCAATTACTTGGCTGCCAAGGAAGCGATGTGTGGCCTCCCACGGCGAAAGGTGCTGTGGTTGCTGAGCAGGACCCGCGTGACGCCCCGCCCCAGTGACGTGACGCCCACTAGTTTTGTTGATGATCTGGATGGACTGTTTGCTGTTGGCTTTTCATTTTGGATGATCATTTCCCTTCTAGCGGCTGTATCTTCCAACTTGCCCACGTATTGCCTTATCAATCAAAATGGTGCTATCTTAGTTGAGGGGGGCCACGCGGCGGCGCGGTGCTCTGTCTGCTCCTCCGAAGGCTTAGTTTCAGGGACAGTTACTATTTCGCCAATACGTGGCAGCTTCGAAATACGCGCCATCGAGGACTAAGCCTTGCAGGAGGAGACGAACAAAGCACCGCGCCACCGCGTGCCCCCCCCCCTCAACTAAGATAGCACCATCAGAACACTATGCTTGTTGGCATGATGGCGGCTACCGGACTACAGCACGGTTCCGAACAAACGTGGTTTCTTAGGCTGCGTTCATAGTTCGCGACTCCGGAGATTAGGATAGTACGCGACAATGAAAAAGATATGTATTGACGGGGAGATTAGGATAGTAGTAGATTAGGATAGTGGGAGAGTAGGATAGTGCGCTGACAAGATCAGATACGTATCGATTGAAATCGCTGGAGAGTAGGATATTACGATATTACGATAGTAGGATAGTAGTAGAGTAGCGATTAGGATAGTAGGAGAGTAGGATAGTGCGCTGACAAGATTAGATATGTATCGATTGAAATCGCCGGAGAGTAGGATATTACGATATTACGATAGTAGGATAGTAGTAGAGTACGCGAATTAGGATAGTAGGCTATTCCGCTGAAAACATCATTAGATACATAAAGATATTATGGAACTATCCCTGAGCCTCATAAATTGTATATCTTCGTTTTTGAAATCTCTTGAGGACTCTTGATGTAAGATTTATTGGTTAGCTTTCGCTGTGATAACAGCTTCTTCAGACCTACAAAACATCAAGCATATTACAATACTTCAAACCTAGGAGACATCAACATAATAAACATTAACTGACCAGGCCGATGCTCTCGCTAATGGTAAACTCTGCAAAGCACAATTCAAGACCTATCAGACTATTGTACAAACCAGGACAACAACGAAACGATGATCACCTCACTCTAGTGCAGTTGCTAATAAAATAAAAATCACTGGGAATGAGCAGTACGTGACTATTTCACAGTACTGGCTTTTATCCACCGTTAACTCAGAAGTCTCATAGCCTCCATGGCCTCCTCTCTGATGTTTATTTCTGGAGACAGCCGCTTGATAGCGAGTGCCTCTAACAATTTCCTTTCTAAGGAGACTTCTTTTGAGCGGTGTGTAGCAGTGACCTTTATGGAAGGAGGCGGTTCTTGTCCATGGTAGATCGTGCGATGTCGTGCAAAACCGTTGTTTGGGTAAGACGAAGGATTTCGCAACGCTCGCATATGTTCATCAATCCTTCTGTACAATGGTCTCATCGTCTCTCCCACATACTTCTGACCACACGCTTCACATGTGACCAAATAAACGGTCCCTCGTAGCTGGCAGATCTTCGTTTCCGTGCAATACGAGCAGTGATTCCGACCGCATTTTTCTTCATAAAGTCTCGACGATGTCAGCAGGCTTTTGATGTTCTTCGGTGGGCGAAATACTAGCTTTACGGGAAGGTTCGCTGTTTTCACGATTTGGTTCACTTTCTTAGCAATACTCTCGTTCACGTACGGTAGTACGAGTGGTATTCCTCCGACAGTAAAGAAAGGACGCCAAGACCGTGGTTCACATGTTGTGTAGCCGTTCTTTTCCAGTATTCTAGAAATAGTTCGCTCCACTTCAGCTGATTCTCGAGTGCAAATCCTCGTCTTCGTGGTGATTAGAGAAATTGACATTAGAGAAGAATGACAGATGACCATTAGAGAACGATGTATGGCAAGCATTTTCAAGTAGAAATCAGATACTATGCGCGCAACTCCGAGATCGCGAAAGAAGAAAACTCGAGGAAAAGATTGCATACTTGAGATCACAACTCACTCTCGCAGAGACCACTTCATTGTACCGAATGCAACACCACCAAAGCGTTGTACAGTGATTGGAACAGATTCGGTAGACGAGGATATGAAGGCTCTGCTCAATTTGGGCCCATCGTTTGCCATATCTACAGCTGTTACCCAGGAAGTGTTGGATACAGTTATGTGTGCTTTTCACACGTTTGCTTACCAAATTCGATGGAGAGAAAATTCGAAGTCCCACTGTTTTGGACAGGTTATCATCATTCACTTCATCGATACCGTTTCCAACACCGTCGGTGCTGACACCAAAACCAGCACCTGCACTGGAGAACATGCAACTAACATCACTGGCCAGCCTGAAAACCTGGTACAAGCTTATAGAACCGACACCGACAGCGAAGTTTGCATCGAATCTCACCGAAAGCGAGAAAAATGGCTTGAGAAAACTACTGCGTCTGAAAAATGAGCTTCGATACAGTGTTAGCGATAAAGGTGGTGACTTCGTTGTTCTCACGCAAAGGATGGACAAGAGCCTCAGTAGGCAACACCTAGCTGATGACACGACGTACCGAAAGGCATCGCTTCGAGAATTTGAAAAGGTGTCTAACGAGCTCAAAAGCACTACAACGCGAGTACTGGGCAAGATTATGAGCAGAAGAACGATCAAGCGACTTCTGCTGACGTTCCCATCCATCCCAACATATTATGCATTGGTCAAAACGCACAAGTTTTCTCCGAAGACGTTGATTTACAACACATCGAGGAACACTTGATCAAGACAAGACCAATCATATCTTCATGTGGAGGTCCGTCAGATAGAATAAGCTGGTTCCTGGTAAGCTCCTGTCGCCGCTACTCCATCATGTAGCTGCTCATATCGTCAACGTAGGAGACTTCATATCAGCCCTGATCGTTGCGAGGTACCCAATGATGCGTGTTACGCAAGCTTTGACGTAGTTTCTCTATACACAAACGTTGACAACTATGATGCCGTACAGTCTGTGATGGGACTTCTTCGTCAACATCCTGAAGTACACACTTACGGATTATTGGAAGACGATCTTCGTCAGCTTTTGACTGCGACACTGAAATGCAATATCTTCCAATTTGATGGAGAACTTTATTCACAGAAACGTGGCTTGGCCATGGGACTTAGAATTGCACCTCTTCTGGCCGTCGTCTATTTGGATCGCATAGAAAGAAGATCTCTTGGTCACGGGAATTGCGTTCTACAAACGATACATAGACGATGTATTTGTGATTGGCTCCACCTCCGCAATGCACACGATGCTTCAAAATCTAAATTCGTGTGATCCGAATATACGCTTTACGGTGGAGTATCCAGATGAGTGTGGCTTCCTCCCGTTCCTCAATACGAAGGTTCGGTTGAGTCATGGCACTAAGGAGTTTGTGTGGTATAGAAAACCTATGTCCAAGAACATCATTCTGCACTCTCGTAGTGCTCATCCACTATACATGAAGGCAAACGTGGTACGGAATCTTATCACGACGAAGACGAGGATTTGCACTCGAGAATCAGCAGAAGTGGAGCGAACTATTTCTAGAATACTGGAAGAGAACGGCTACACAACATGTGAACCACGGTCTTGGCGTCCTTTCTTTACTGTCGGAGGAATACCACTCGTACTACCGTACGTGAACGAGAGTATTGCTAAGAAAGTGAACCAAATCGTGAAAACAGCGAACCTTCCCGTAAAGCTAGTATTTCGCCCACCGAAGAACATCAAAAGCTTGCTGACATCGTCGAGACTTTATGAAGAAAAATGCGGTCGGAATCACTGCTCGTATTGCACGGAAACGAAGATCTGCCAGCTACGAGGGACCGTTTATTTGGTCACATGTGAAGCGTCGTGGTCGCACGTAGAATGTGAAGCGTGTGGTCCAGAAGTATGTGGGAGAGACGATGAGACCATTGTACAGAAGGATTGATGAACATATGCGAGCGTTGCGAAATCCTTCGTCTTACCCAAACAACGGTTTTGCACGACATCGCACGATCTACCATGGACAAGAACCGCCTCCTTCCATAAAGGTCACTGTGCTACACCGCTCAAAAGAAGTCTCCTTAGAAAGGAAATTGTTAGAGGCACTCGCTATCAAGCGGCTGTCTCCAGAAATAAACATCAGAGAGGAGGCCATGGAGGCTATGAGACTTCTGAGTTAACGGTGGATAAAAGCCAGTACTGTGAAATAGTCACGTACTGCTCATTCCCAGTGATTTTTATTTTATTAGCAACTGCACTAGAGTGAGGTGATCATCGTTTCGTTGTTGTCCTGGTTTGTACAATAGTCTGATAGGGTCTTGAATTGTGCTTTGCAGAGTTTCCCATTAGCGAGAGCATCGGCCTGGTCAGTTAATGTTTATTATGTTGATGTCTCCTAGGTTTGAAGTATTGTAATATGCTTGATGTTTTGTAGGTCTGAAGAAGCTGTTATCACAGCGAAAGCTAACCAATAAATCTTACATCAAGAGTCCTCAAGAGATTTCAAAAACGAAGATATATTAGATACATATTGACTGAAATCGCTGGCGAGTAGGATATTAAGCGACCAGTGTTGATTTATAAAAGTTGGCATTGTTTCCGAATTTTGGGCTAAACTAGCTTGTTTTCTTGACTCAACGTTGTGTCTCCATGATTTTTGTCTCTCCTAAATGATTAAACTAATATTTTGTTTCCTTGTGAACATTTACATAAATCCTTAAATTACCCAGAGCTCTCAATTTTGCTCATGTCCTTGGCGGGGGGGGGACATCCCAGTGAGTGAGCCGATTACTGTACTTGGGACTGAGCCTTAGGCAGAGAAGTGATTTTATGGGAAGATGCTAAGCAATATGTGTGCTCCCTGGCGTTTCTCCCCTCTCCTGGGCTCTAGTTTCCATTCTTTACGTCGTCATCCACGGTCATTTCGAAAATGAAAGGGCAATCAAAGGGGTACTATTTTGCTTATTTTTGACGGATTTCTTTGCTTTTTTCGCCATTGGCGTACTATTGAGACCCTCACGTCCCCTCTAAACCCCTTTGAGATCTATCATAATCGCTGCCTTTAATTTCGAAGCCTTCATAAAACAGTAACGCACGGAATGCTACATATTGTAGTGGTGTGGTTGAGGAGAGAAAGACTTCTCCGCTTCGCTTTTGCACGCGAAGCTTTTACGCGGCAGGAACCCCGGTTCCACCCCTCATCAATGGTGGACCTGGGGATCCTCATTGTCAGCGACAAAAAGCTTCGTTTGGTGAAAAGTACACGCCGCTCTCTGTCCTTGCGAACCACACCTCCCTTTGCAGGAACGTGAGATGACTATTCGAGAAACCTTTGATGTTTCCTTTTACGTTGGAGTTTGCGATGAAAAGGCAGCCCACTAGAAATCAAAATGAGGGGGGGGTTCAGTAATGCAGGGATGAAGAAAAACTGAGAAAATTGCTCATAACCCAAGAAATTTGGCTACTTTCGGCCTATTGCGGCGTTGGAGCGTCTTATTTGTGCCGACTTAATCAGGACCCAAGCCTGGCCCGCTTCATGCTGAAGCCATAGTGCAACGGGAGGGGTTAACCAGTCGGTGGACGGGTAGCGGTGCGGGTACGGCCCTGCTAGGTCGATGGGGGGTATAACCTCCACTGCAGAACGCGCGCCATCCTGCACCCTTAGAGGACTCGGCTTTGTTTGACTAACTATAATTCTCCTTCTTCCACCTCCGCCTTGCTGTGTAAAGAAAACTGGATGAAGTCGAAAAGGAAAGGGCAGAGCTGGACCAGTTGCACGAACATGCCTGCTCCGTAGCTGCATTATCCCGCGCCCTTTGAATTGGGCGCTACGCCGTACTCCACGTTGAGTGTCATAGGTATGCGCTAGTAACTCGTCTAATTGTAAATGCTAAGATTAGTCTCCAAATGCTGAATTAAGATCCTAACGCTACTGTCACGCACTTTCGAGCAGCGGCAACATTTGCTACTCCATCCCGCCCACTGAACAGTCCGTTCGACACGACTTCTGCTGGGGGTGTTGAGGCCGCGGTTTGAGTTCTTGGGTTCTTTTTGTGGCGGATATACGTTACGTTTTGTGCGCAGAATCGCATTTTCGATATGTACGTGTTTACTCCACACTCGAACTACAAAACGAACCGCAAAATGGTCGCAAATTATGACCGCTGCCTAACAGGTGGTTACAATCATAAGAGCGAAAATCAGTCACGTTGGTTGGAAAACTATGGGGCCATACGGAAAGATAATCCAAGTTTGCTAATTAGAGCCTCGTCAAAAATGCGCCGGCCCTGGCTCCTGTTGCATTGTGCTGACGGTGGTCGGTAAGCGCGCTCCAGTGACAACAGAGCGCTCCAATCTTTTTGGACATTGCATGACAATTTCTTAAACACTCAAACTTTTTTCAACCACTCCTCGTTACTACCAGTTTTCGTGGTTTCATCTCATGAAAGACCTTCGATATGCTCATAAAAGGAAAGCTGTTCTCGCTGTGTTCCGGGACATGACGCTCTCTTTAGCTGTCTTTCTAAGATTTCGCTTTTCCTGCTGACGTTTACATGTTTTCTGCAATTCTAGCCTTGTAATAGACTTTTGCAGATGGCGTGTTCCGAAGTACAGCAGAAGGTGCTCCGTATGGAGTTGGACAAAGGTGGTGCATTCGATTTCTCGAATTGTATTCGTAACATGGCACTGGCGAGGATGGGAGCGCCTCCACCGAGAGTGCGCTCAACGGGTACCACAATCGTTGCTGCTACATACAAGGTTAGTTCCCGTGAGCTATCCAGGTGGTTTGCATTACTGCATCGAGAATTCATGAGCAGAGGCGTTTCGGTG